CATGCATATCTGTTCGACAGCAAAAGCAGCACATCTCCTATGTATTGAATTCCTCATGATTGAACTCATGCATGCTAATAGGTTGCAGGATTAGCTGACTTTAAGTCAATTATTACCCAGAAGATTTGATGAAGCTGCAGCTGCTTTGTCTAAATGAGTCACTCCATACAGAAACATTGATAACAATGCACAGAACAGATGCAAAGATGATGCTAATGGTGACTTAACACTTTGAATATACAAAGCAATGCAAAATTATTAAGTTTGCAACCAGTGCTATTAAATTTCTGCAGCAGATGACTTTTGCTGTCTTAAGACCTTCTACCAGTACAGTGCCAGAGGCTTTCTGTGAGTGTCAGCAGAAGGGCTGGCACAACCTATGATGGTTTTGGTTTGGATTTGGTGGGAAAGGAAGGAACAAAAAACTTAGTCCAGTTGAATTCTGCCCTTAACTTCAACCTCCAGTTTCATACAAATCCTCTTCCTCATCTTCAAGAAACACAAGCAACTTGCTTTTCTCCTAAAGTTTTTGGTTTGTTTTTTTTTTTCTGTCCAAAGATTGATGTGGCTTCTTCTCTAAAAAGGGAGAGAATAAAAAAGCAAATAAATCTTTTTTTTTTTTTTTGTCCTGATATTTAACTATCACTGTATGGAAGAAGAACAGGAATAAAGAGGAATTGCAAGCTGATGATGAGTAATGTTGTGCTTTCTTGTCTATTTTTCCCCATCAGAAAAAGGACAAGTTTCCTCTTTAGATTATCTATTTCACTGTGGAAAAAAAAAAAGAAAACATATTTTACTTTTAGCAACTTTTCTATGTGCTCCTGGACCTAAAGACACAGACTGAGCTGCTTATGGGGSAGCCACAAGCCAAACTGAGCCTTCCGCATAAGCCTGGAGAATTTTCTTTCATTTCTATTGTTGTCCTAGTGATTTCTGCAGATGGAAGAGAAACAAGAGATTCAAGGACACTGGAACTGGTTTTCTGAAAATAGAAAAATGCCTTTTGCCAAGCGGATTTGTTGAGCACACTAAGTGGTAAGAAACTTGTCTCARAGTTTTGATCACTAGGGCATCTCCTCATGTGCAATGTTGAGGTTAGAGATTTCGCTTGTTCTATTCATGCTTCTTGCTAAACATAGTCTTATCTCTGTGTGAGAACTGTTGTCCCCAGACTCCAGCTCAGGCTCTGACAGCTTTTGTGAGAGCGACTGTATCAACATATTGTTGTGCTGAGTCCCCAGGGCCATCTGGGGCTTTGTGCGGGCAGGGTGCTCGGGCGTGAGTGTGAACCAAAGCAAGTCACCATTGCTCGGCAGGGACRAAATGCACTGCTAGGGTCTGTCCCTGCCAAGCTGGGCTGCCTGGCTCYAGTCCCACTCGTCGGGGATTGTCTGCTGAAATGCAGTTCTCGTATTGTACGGCATCACAGCTACGTGGCTCTGTCCTCATTCATTATGCTCTGTTTTTGTTGAGCAGGAACCTGTGAATCGCCAGCTCTTAAAGCAGATCTCAGGGGCTAGCACCTTGTGTCAGTTGTCCATTATACCACTAGGCTGGCTCAGGTGGAGCTTTCCTTTAGTTGCTGCTGACCTTCAGTTTGCAGCTCCCTTGAAACTGAATTACTATGTCTTAATGCTATGAAATAATAAAAATACATATCTTTGTCTCATTTCACGATGGATGCCTGGCTTCTTGGCCAAGCAGCCTCCAACAYCTGGCCATTTTAAGGTGGATCTCCAGCTGGGTCTCAAGCTACCGTTCCCTTTAGCTCCCTTTGATAAATCCAGCCCTTTGCAAGCAGTGGCTGCCTCTGAGACCTGCTGGCAAGCCCAGGGACCCCCCATTCAAGGACAAGTCAAGCTACCAAAGTGAACACCYTCAGGAGTTTGCTAAGAGATAATCATTAGATAAGAGTATAATAATATCTGTCTCCACATTCCTTGACAACTTTCTGAATTCTTTCAACCCAGATATGTATATTGTGAATGACTGTGAATTATACTTGGAATTATACTTGTTGGAAGAATCTCCAAGTCATCATGTGCAGCTTCTGCTGGAGAGAGAATCCTTAGGATTTTTTTTCTCTGAGGTTTTCCTGGACCCTCCTTCTYCCAGCCTGCCCATGCAGAGACCGGGAGCACTGCCCGCGGAGAGCAGCATTCGGATGCRCACATCCATTTCCCGAGGCGGGAGAAGAGGCAGGACAAGGGCAGCTCTCCGCGGGCGTGATGCACGACACGGCGCAGCCCTGCAGCTGGGTGGCTGCCCACGGCCCCTCACGTCGGCCCCGGGCCGGGCACGCAGCTGCAGCATCAACAATATTGCCCTAGTCTCCAGGTCAGTGTCTGTAGAAAGGTCTGGGCCTGGGCCTGGTGTTGTGCTACCAGGCTGGGGAGCAGTGGTAGCTCGCTGTGAGTCCACCTCTCCTTCTCATGGACACTGGGGTGTATCAATGACCACAGGGCTCAGCTGGCCCGAGGTGCAGCCCAGCTGTGTGACCCTGGCTGGGTTTTGCTGAGAAACCTGCTGCTGCTTCACTGTGTGAAAATACATAATCTAAAGCAAAGCAAGATAAGGAGAGTAAAAATACGGATAGAAGTAAGGTTGGCAAGTGGTAATAGAAAGCAACTCAARGCTCTAAAAGGCAAATATTGTGTGAAAATCCTAAAAACAACCAAAAAAAAGTAGAGAGTAAGAGGATTACAACTCACCAAAATCAAGGCTTACACTGTTTTAAGGAACAAGAGGCACAAGCACCTTTCTTCATGACCAACTGTGTGGCCCTTAAGGACTCGTCAGGGGCCAGCACGGGGTATGGTGAGCACATCAACACTCTGCTCAGTGCCACATCAGTCCTGGCTCGTTGCTGTAGCAGCAAGTCTAAAATGGCCAYGTGCTTTGGGTGCCTTGAGTCAGGATTTGGTGCCAGTTGGGTGCCAAGAGCCCAGGGTGCCTGGAGTCAGGCTGTGATCTGAGCTTATGTCCCAAGCCTTGGGCCACCATGAGCTCTGACCTGGCAGAGAAAGGAAGCGGAACCTGAAAAAGAGAAGGAATTGAATGGGTGGGAAAGTCACGGAGTAGGAGATATCCATGAAGAACAGATTTAATCCATTGATAGAAAGGATGTGTAAGGAATTTGACTAAGCAGATCCTGAGTCCTTAACGTCAGCATTTCCAGTTTACCAGGCTGAGCAGACTTGGTCAACTGCAGGCTGGAACATGCTCAGTCTCCCTCCATCCTCTCTCAGATGGACTGGATGAATTCCTCCCAATTTCTCTTTATCCCACAGAAAAACAAAACAAAACAAAACAAAACAAAACAAAAACAAACAAACAAACAAAAAACCCTCTACCATGAGGTACCCAGACACCTCTTTGGCAGAATGTTTCAGTGTTTCACAGTTCTTTTTGAATCCAAGGTCAGTTTTGGCAAGAGCCACTTCTTGTTGCTGCCCAGTCATGGTGCTGCTGGAGCAGCAGGGAAGAAATGACCTGCAAACAGCTGCTTTTACTTTTGGGTGCTGGCAGCAAGTACAAAGCAGCATAAATAAAATGCAAGCCAGAACATGACTAGTTTTGCGCTCATTTTGTACAGGTGCAAATAATCATTTGGAACAAGACGGTGGAGRCTCAGCCTCCAAGGGAGTCTGCAAGCCAGGCCATCTCTCTGAGCTTGCAGCAGTCCAGTATTTAGTAAGAGGCAGCTAGACACTGGACATGCAGTTGGAAGTGTTATGAAGAGCAGGTGAAGGACAAACTTTCACGTCTGGATGGCAGCCACCATCTCTTGCAACCTTGGCCAGGTGTCAACATCTGTGAGTGGCCGTTTCTTTGCTGAATGAGACAATGGCTGGAAACACCCCTGCCCARGGCTGCTTTCCCTTCCTTTTATTGAGAAATTCAAATATTATGCTTTCCCCCAACCCATCTCTGCCTGGCAGAGCCTTCTTCCTCATTTGCAGTGTTCCAGAACTAATGCAGCACTGTTACAGAATCCTGTAATCCCAGGACAGGGGAGGTTGGCAGGGACCTCTAGAGATCATCTAGTCCAATCCCCCTGCACAAGCAGAGTCACCAATTAACATCTTTTACTTGAGGAAAACAAATGAAATATAAGTAAATTGAGCCAACGTATGATGGTAGCCTGTAGCAGACTGTGGGTTTCTATTAGAGGTAAGTCTAGACACATGTGGCTGGCAGAAGCACTGAGTGGTAACTTAGGACTAAAATGTGAACAATTTTCTATTTTCAATCTGAAATTTGGAGCCACCCAACTGTTACCAGCAAAAACAGTCATGGCAGCAGTTGGAAAATAAATGTGTAGTTCTGTATAGTGCTGAAAACTACCTTTTTCCCCCCTCATTAATGTTTTAGGAGCTGGATCCTTGCCCTTATAATGCAGAGTGAGTGGGGRCAACAGGGGCCACCTGGGCACCTCTGATGGTTCCCCCATGGGTGCCCCAAGCTGGTGGCCACGGCAGAGCTGCGTTGCTGAAATGCTGAGCACTGGGTAACCCTCCAGCTGCGTTGCAGCCCGACTGGATGTCAGCCCCAGTTGCTATTAAAAGTGGCTGCAAGGAGGATAAGAAAGTGCATGTGTGTGTGGCTGGAGACCTGTCGCTCTCCTTTAAGGAAAACCTTTCCTTTCCATGGGCCCTCCCCCCGGCAAAGCCCGAGTGCAGCCAGGTCTGGAGACAAGGTCCAAAGGCAGCGGTGCAGCCCCCACAGGCTCAGCTCTCTGCTGTGCGCTTGCAGTTTCCAGTTACTTTCATACATTTTTTTTTTCTCCCTCATCACAACGTGTTTTCTCATTACAGGGCAGTCCCAGGCTCCCTCCTCCACTCCCTCTCGCCTCTTGGAAGCAGAGCTAATCATCTGTTTGCAATTAACCCGTTGCCTCCAGCGCCTCTGCAGCGCGAGGCAGGCAGCGCCGCAGCCTTAAACCCGGCGGTGGAAGCAGCAGGGAGGACAGCGGTGCTGGGACCATCCCTGGAGCTGCTGCTCGTCCCGTCGCCTTCCCCAGCCCTGGCTGTGCAGCCATGGGGAGCCTGGCCCTTGTCCTTCTCCTGGCCCTGGCCCCTGCGGCCGCGCACCGAAAGCTGCTCGTGTTCCTCCTCGACGGCTTCCGCTTCGACTACCTCGATGACAAGGAGCTCGAGTCCCTGCCGGGCTTCAGGGACATCGTCAGCATGGGGGTGAAGGTGGATTACATGACCCCCGACTTCCCCAGCCTTTCCTACCCCAACTACTACACGCTGATGACAGGTGAGCCCGCTTAATTTATTTCCTGGGGTGTTCCTCGGTTGCTGACTTGATTCCTGCTACCTTTTCCTGCAAGGATGTGAAAATAATCACKGTTTTGCTTTGAGCTGGTTACTTGAGAACAGACCTTAAAAGCACTCGAGTACTCTTAAGCAAAAAGATAAACAGATCTGTTCTTGCTGCTAGTCAGTAAGGTTGGGAGTGCTGCTGGGACCTGCTTCCAGGAGCTTCCTCTTCACAGACTGGGGTCCCATACTGGGAGTCCTGGTGCTGACTGGGCAAAGGCAGCGCTGGACACGGCTCCCAGCTCACAGCAAATCCACCTCCCTGCTCGTCCAAGCACAGAGCACTGCTGAGTGCTTGCTCTTTACTGCTGCCTCTGGAACATAAAAATGAGTGGAAAACACAAGGAAGATAATTATGGAGCCTGTTCAGGGACTTTTCAGTTAATAAAAACGCATGTAAGCTGAGAGTGACTAAGATGTGAGTTGTTCTTAGCCAGCAGGTCAGTTTTATAAAGTTCAGCACTAAGTTGTGTGTGTWTGTGGTTTTTTTTTTTTTTTTTTTTAATTTTTTTTTTTTTAACCCAAACTGACATTCTGCTTTCACAGGTTCCTCTCTTAACTCTGCCCTAAGTCTTCATATTTCTAAGATAAGGTGAAATAGCCAAAAAGAAAAATCTTTAGTATTTTTCCTTCTTGCTTCTCTAATATGAGCTTTATTTTTTTCCCTGAATGCTGAGGAAAGGCATTTGGGAGAGTACACAATTTTGTGAAGGTCAATTCACTCTATTTTCACAATATATTTTAATACTGACTTCCTTTTAATCCCACCATAGTGATTACATAATTACAGTGTCACTAGGAATGTGTGTTTGGAATACAGATGAGCTATTTATGACAGAGAAAGGCACCCTGGAGTACAAAACTGAAGTAAACAACTAAAAAGAAAAGTTTTTCCAGAGTCTCTTTATTTCTTATTTTATTTTTTGCTATAGTCATTTAATAACAAGACCTTCCAGCTAACTGAAAGCAGCAATAAAATCTGCTCTCCCCTGGACACGTGGTGTCTTGTGCTGTCCATGGAACAACACAATGCCCAGCAGTTCATATCCTGCTCACTGGGAAAGCAAATAGATGCCATTGTAAGTCAGAATCTGACATCAGTTGTGCCCAGCTTGTTTTGAAACTGCTTAACCCCTTCCTATTTTGAGAGAGAATTGCCTCTTTTTTTAGCTATTCTAATATTTAGGGAGGGAGGAGGCGAGGTGAAACTGAGTGAATGTAGAGCCAATTTTACTACTTACATAAAAAGTGGAGTGCCACKTATTTTCAGTACTTGAGCATTCTCAGTTGGTCATCACAGCTATTAAAACTGTATGTGCAGACTAAAGTTTATAATCGGCCATTGGGGAATCTTTAGAAATGTCCTGTTAGTATTTGTGAAAAAGGAGTTCCATCTCAGCTTGGCATTTACTGATATTCTAGTGTTTTGGGGTACTGCAATTTTAACACCACTTTTAAGGCAAAACTCTGGATAAATTGCTCTGGCCTTCATGGCAAGGATCTCATTGCTTTGCAAATGTGAATTAACTGCAGGTAACAACTACCTTCTGTCATGTGTGAGTCTACGTGGTGTGAAGTAGGTCGGGAGGGAACTGAGGACYAGGTGATGAACAAGCCCAAGGCAACTTCAGAAGCACCTGAGTCAATGTGGGCTGGAGGTGCCAAGGTTGCACCAAGCCCTGGGCAGCAGGTGTAGCTTGTGGCCATGTCCTAACCCAACAGCRTGGTCAACACCAAGGTTGTGCTGTTCTCTCTACCCTCAACACCATGATGGGGATTCCACGCAAGGGAAAGGCCATGCTTTAGGGGATGGTGGGGTTAGGACACTGTAGAACATGGCAAATGAGAGAAGATGATGGGCTGGCTGCTGCAAAGCTTGGCCTCTGGTGTTCACTCTATGCAGGTTCAATTAGGAAACTTGGAACATCTTTTGAGTACAATACAGTATGACAGGGTGAGATCAGCATCAGGCTGTAGCAAATTTCTAGTGACTGGTGAGTTGCCMCCTCTCTCACTACTGCACAGGCCTCGGAAAGCATTTCTGACCTCTTAACTCATAYATCTCCACTGCTTAAATGTCATTGCTGTTTCTTCTGAGAAACCATGGGCATGAGGATAAGTTATTCTTTATGTCTTGTCCTAAAATTTTGCACTGTGAGCTACTAAGAAGCTCCCACTCTTACCTGCAAACTGTTCTAAATCAGCATTTGTGGATGCAGTTTTGCAATATATTGGCTTTTCCAGCTAAATCGGCTTAAGAAACTTCTGTCCCCATCTGCTCATCCTCATCCCTGTGTTTGTTGTGTCCCATCACTTGTTTGACTGAAAGCCTAGTCTGGTGAAACTGCATCCAATCTACCTAGGGATAAACAMAGCTGCCTTTGCCATGGCCACACGTATATTAAAGCACTGCAGTGCGAGTAGCCTCATGGCCACCGTGAGGGAGCTCTCCAGAGGGTCCATGGCTGTCTGCTCCAGTGGAGCTCACCACTTCCTAGAGAGGCAGTTGGAAGTTGTGGCTGAGAAACCACCAAAGAACCAAGAGTGGTCAAAAGTCACACACTAAGGGAATGATAGAGGCAGGGATAAAAACCATGAGGTTGAAATGTGGCCAGGCTAAACACAGAGTTTTCAGCTTTTAAGTGAAATGGAGCCCTGCCAGGGGTCAGACCCTCCATGATATATTAAAGGAGTTTTAAAATCTTGTAATATGTAACAGAAGAGAGGATAGATGGATAATCCTCAGCCTTCAATTATTCAAAGGCAAGAGTAACACAGGATTAGCCTTTCTAGTAATAATCTAGGCCTCCTATTTAAATYATCTGTTGCCATTAACACCCTACAAGGTATTAACTGGGGAGGCATGGAGTGTCCCAGTCCTGGGACTTGGGTAGAGAACTGCTCTCTTCCTCCAAACCTATGGCAATCATGAGAAAGGCAAGCAAAAATGCAGACACAAGAACAGCAATAAAGGTCTGGCTTACTCATGTGAAACCACAACAAAATGATTCCTCAAGTTGCTCAGAATTACACGATGAAGATCTATTGCAGTGCATGGCAGCCCAAGCAGGTACTGCCTTACAGCCCTGCAATCTTTTGCAACACCTTTGCTCCWATTACGTTTCTCAGGTTTGGCTTCCCCCGAGGTGCGAGACTGTTTCCTCTGATCGTGTTGTCATTTAAGGAGCTGAGCTGCCAGCTGGCTATCCTCCTGATGCCTTCCATCCTCTCCCAGTGTTATTACACTTCAGTTGTTGAGTCTGATTTTTTTTTTTTTTTTTTTTTTCCCCCCCATAATATCACAGGGGTCTATGATCCAAGATGACATGTGAGTGAGGACAGGGGAGGACTCTAGCTGCAGGGAGACCCTGTTCATGCACAAACACCTACCAATTAAATGAGAGAAGCTGTGAATGAGAATAATATTATGGAAAGAGATTCTTTAGAGTAAGAAGTTTCTTGGGACAGATTTCCTGARAGTGACAGGAGCTCTTTAATACCTGAGTCTCACTTACAATGAGTTTAAGGGCACCCTGAAACCAAGCTGTGAGGCAATTGGATTGATGGGGTCAGTGCTTACGCTGCCTTATAGCCCTGTGCATGCAAAGAACTGGCCGGGGAGAGGCAGGATTGCATTAGTGCGCAAAGGCATGGCGTAAAATGGTGAAATAGGTAAAAGGAGCAGTTAGTGCTGACGCACGCGTCTGAGGGAGCTCTGTGGGGCTAGATGTGGGTTTGGCAGCCGAGGGAAGATGGAATCCAAGTGTGCCTGTCCCAGAAGGTTGGCTTAATCATACCATGTAGTGTTTGTTTTCCAGAGAAAGGAATTAAGATCACAAGCCACTCCAGACTTTTATCCTATTGAGAGCTTTAGGGAGTTTAATATTTCCCTTTCTCTACCTTAGGCTGTTGCTGCAGGGACTTTTCAAACTAAACTAAATGGAAAGTTTGAGGCCTCTCACATTCCCTCTCTCTCTCTCTCCATGACCGCTGGAGCAGTGAGTTATTATTCCAGACTTGCTCTTGCCATATGCCTTGAGGTAAAAGCTGCTTGCACCAAGATGTTTGGGCAGGGGCTGGGTAGAAGCAGGGCCTGGGGGTCTATTCTGATTGCTGCTGGGGACTCCTGGCACAGCTGTGGCCCTTGGGACCTGCCAGGGCCCCTCAGGTTGTGAGACCTTCCAGGATAAGGATCAGTGACCAGCACATTGCATCAATGCTGGAAACTTAGTGGGGATTTTTTTATCCAAGGTCCTGACAAAAAATAAAGTTGTCTTTTGGCAGGTTGTTGGTGACGACAAGCCAAATCTTCAGTCAGTTGTGCAGTGCTGCTTCCAAAACTGCATTTTTTTGCCCTCCGGGGGAAAAAGAGGGATTCCCTGTTTGCAGAGTTCAGTGCATGGGGGGTAGTTTGGAAAGTGGGGAGTGATGGGTCTCCATAGGTCTGTTTGCTGAGGTCCTGATCCCTAATAACTCCTAGAGAGGCTGAGTGGTCCTGCAGAGCYTGTGGGACAGAGGAAGAGGCTGAGCAGTGGATGCTTTAGCTGCAGGTCTGCTGATCCCCCTGACGTGCTTGCAGATTTATAATTTGCTGCAGCAGTTCTCCTGATTTCCAGCACAATGTCTCACTTGCAGAAGATCCTGGGGCAGGAGGGAAGCCTCCTCTGTGGAGCCTCTCCTCATCCCAGCAGCTCGCTGCTCACCTGCTCTGGCAGCACTCGCCCTGGTGGTGCATTGCACCCTAAGGACAGGGACTGACAAGCTTAATTATTGACTACCAGCCTTTCGAGGGTGTCCTTTGAGCTTTTATCAGTGCAAGGTATAGTGAACACCAGCAAAATCCAATTGCAGATGCAATTCTGCTGTGGCTTTGCTGTCACCACTCAGAGCTGAGGAAAGGGGCTGTTTCACTTTTCCACAAGAGCARAATTTTGTACCCACTTTTGCACTCAGTTTAAAATAGTGAAACTACCTGTGTGGGATCAATAGTGGGGTTTGTTTGTTTTTTCTCCTCCATTTCTGGAACTGTACTTTGGGAAGTAAAAGAAATTGCAATACTGCTGCTATGACTATTGCTGGTGGTAGTGTTACCTGATAGGGAATGCCGTACTGTACTGTCAAGGACAGGGTGCTGGCAGGATTGGGAGCTGGAAATGCTCCTAGTGTTCAGATTCTTCATCTCACTTTGTTTATTCTCTGCCTTCAGAAAGGCTGTAATACCATGTGCCGATGTCTTTCTCTTTAACACATTAACACATATACAAAAAYGTTGTGAAAATCTGAGTTTACTTTGTAAAAATTAAAGAAAAATAATAGAAACACTTAAAAGAGAGAACAGAAGTTTTCTCTTACACAAGTTTGCAAGCCACAAGCTGAAGCAGAGAATTTTTTATTTACATACAACCTAAAGCCTCACAGTTCACATCTGCCTAATGCGCCTGTTAGCAGCTATTAGCAGCTGCAAGCGGGCAGTCACGTATCCAGGTAGGTCTTTGCCTAGAGCTAGAACTACCAAGTCACGCTTTATTAACAGAGAGCTGCCAGAGACACGAACYCTCTCTGGTGGCGCGTGCAGCAGCTTGGCACGCCGCTTTGCAGCTCGCCCTGGTCCTCGAGCATGCTGCTGAGCCCAAATACAGGCAAGCAGGACCTGCCTTCCCGTTCAGCAAGCGTCTGCACAGCCTCAGCGAGGAGCTTTGGAAGCAGTTCGTGTGCACCCCAGCTCTGGCCTCCTTATGAAAGCAAGGAATTAAGAGGTGTGTGCAGCCAGATGAAATGCCACTTACAAACTGTGCAGCTGAGATTTTTTTTTTTTTTTTTTTTCTTCTGGCTATTTTGATGGAATGGTCCTTCTTGGATTGCAAATTGTTCTCTGACTTGGGCAAGAGTGTTTCTACTTTTGCTCAGGCTGGTTTTGGAGGATCATTTWAAAAAAATCTTTGCCAGCAAACTTTTCTGGGGACGTGACTTGTCTCATCACGTCTTGTAGGTACCACTTTTGCCTGAGGGCCTGCAGATGGCAGGGCCACCTCATCTAGCCCTGGGTCGTCAAGAGATGTGCTCTCCACCAGCCCAGCTTGGTGCTAGGATTTCTTTTTTTACCCTTGACTTTGTTCCCATTCAGAGAAGGGCAAGTGTCCTTCTGCTCTTCTCCTGCTAGGTTTCCCTGTGGGAGATGAAAGGATAAGGAAGAAGTAACTGCACTGCACTGGTTACAGCCCAGTGACTAACCAAATAAATTGTTTGTATCTCAGTGTTCCCAGGATGCTTCATGTCAGGCCAAGCTTTGAATTTTTATCTGAATCAGATATCTTTATAGGGGAAAAATAACCTTCCAGCCCAGCCCTGCTCATGGACCACCTGGAAGCCTGTCTGTGTCCTGGTAAAGGGCTGGAGGTGCTCCTGTCACAGGCTTACAAATGCACCACCAGCAGATCATTGAAAATTGAAWTTTTCTTTGTCTTCTGCTCATACAGACCACAGGGTCTTACACAACACACTATAAAAATGTGTTTGCTTCTGCCCCTTGACATGAGTGTGGTGTGGATGGAAACCCTGGTATTGCAGAGGTGAGCAGGGATCTGGGCAGCACCGCTGGCGGGTTTGGGATATAACCCTTCATCTATGTGGGCTTGGGTGCTCTTGCTGCAGTGCCCCTTGCTTGGCAGCTCTTCTGGGACTCTGAAACCCCTTCATCCAGGACCCTGCCGAGTTTCCCTAGGGAAGCTCTCCCTAAAGGCCAGCAGCTGTCCAGGCTGGGCAGCTGAGCTGATCCCAGACCATGTGGACCATGTGGCCCTGCAGACGTGCCAGTCTTTTCTGGCTCTTACCACTCCACTTGGGAGTCAGGACAAGAGCACTCCCTGCAGCTGCAGGACATACATGCAATAGAACATACTGCCTGCCTAGGTATTTATGTGCATATCACATACATTGTTATTTATGTTTATCGTGGGATAGATACCATATGAGTACAGAACATGGTACCTTTGCTGTGCTAATTAAGGTAAGCACTTGGGGCTGTCGGGTAAATCTTATGCTTATCTCCTTGGGAAGTAGAGGATTTTACAGGAGAACATCTTTTGATTTAAAAATCTCACATGCAGTTGATGTAGGGTGCTCAGCAGCCAGTGTTACTGCACCCTTGTTATGAGTGGCCAACAGGCTGTGTTATTTCTTTTTAAAAATTCATCTTTGTTTTTCATAGATTGATTGCAATGCTGACAAAAGTGCCTGGAGACTTGGGAATGTGCTTTAAAGAAAGATAAATGTTGTAAAAAGTGTTGCGTCCAAGTAAGTTGTAGCATGTAGACTTGCAAATGCGTTTGCTGGCTCTTATCCAGAAGGATACAGTAGTTATCATAGTCTAGGGAACTGTACTTCCTTTGTTTTTCCCTGTTCCTTGAGGAAGGGGTGTTTTTTCACTGCAATTGCAGTCATTTTAATGACATCTATATGCTGCATTTTTTTTCCCCGTTGTTACCCATGAAACTCCTAAGTTAATGTTTGTTTACAAAGGGAAGTTACAGTAACAGAGGCAATAATAAATTCTGCATGTTATGGTGGCTGTCTTGCACCATGTTGTTGTTTTGCTAATCATTAAAAAGGAGACCCCCAAAGGTCATTTTCTCAAGCTGGAGAAAACGACTTAAAAGAAGTGTGCAAAGCACTCAGCTTTTGCAGGTGACCCAAATGAAATTAGAGAGGTGACCTTAATTTCCCTGGAGACTAGGGTCTCCAGGGAAAGAAGTGCCAGCTATTGCAGACAAGCTACTGCCAGTARGCAAGGCACAGAAGAGCTGTGGGTGAAGACTAAAACAGGAGAAAATCAAATTAGAAAACAGGTCTMCTTTTTGAGGAGAGAAACTGCTGGGAAGACCAACTGGAAGATGGGTTAGTTGGAGATTGGGGTCTCCCAGAGACATCTGGGGTCTTTCTGGAGCACAGACCCCAAGCAGCATTAAATGGTACTGCCTCATGGCTATACCTGATCACCTTATCTGCTGATCTAATGGTTCCTCTTGCTTTTGAATCCATGAACTACAATTTATACCTTTTCATTCAGTAATCTATGGTAAATTTGGATTTCTCTTTCCCTCTGTGTTGCAGATGTATTGCATCCCTTGTAATTAAAGGGTTACTCCAAGAGTGTAATTATCCACATATTGAATCTCTTTGAAATCCAGCACATTTTTCGAAAACCAGCATATTTTTTGCAAAATAGGGAATGAAATAGATCTTCTCTAAAGCGAAGGCAGAAGTAGAACAGAGCTAATGCCTCTAGAAGAATGAACCTTTCTAATGTGATGATCAGAATAATACTCTGTACCATTACACACAGTTAATGAAACTTGCCAGCAACAGGATTTTCAAAGCCCTTTCCAACATGACATATACACAAAGTTTGCAGAGCTGGAAATATCTGATGAAATGATCCCTTGCAACCAAGAATGAAATGTGTGCATGCAAAATGCCAGCAATCAGTGATATAAAAAAAGTAGTATATAAAGGTTTCAGATCCGATGGTAGAAAGTCACAATGGCCTATTTGTGGTGGGTCTTTGTTGTTGTTGTTTTAAGATAAGGATTCTCCCATCAATTATACTGTGAATGCCTTGCATCTCTGGACGTTCTGAATTAATTTCCTATGGGTATGTGCCTAAGAAATATAGGGATATAGAGACCGAAGCAGATTGCTTGGGGACTATTGTGTAGCTCTTGCTCTCAAAAGTAGCCTCAGTGAACTCAGTAACCTTGTGTAGCAGGGTGAGGATGGAGAGGCCAGGTCAACACCCTGATATATCATGCCTGATTCCCTTGCTCCTTACCGTCACCGAAGAATTTCTGCATAGTCTTTCTTTTGTTTTTGGCCCTCTTCCAAGCAATGTTAAATAAACTGTGATGTCTAAATATCAGTATTGAGCAATACATACTAAGTGTTTGATGAAAGAGGGGGGGAAATGTGAGTTTCCCAAACTTTATGTTTCTGGAGACTGCTTTTTATCCCTTCCTGTTTACAGACTGCTTCCTGCAGCCCTCTGGGTCTGTGTGCCAGCGAGTACCTTAAAATAGCCTTGGACTTGGCAGATGTTGTGTCCTTAGAAGGAGCCAAACGGCAGGCGAACGTGTGGCACCCGCGCGGGCTGCTGCCACAGAGGCCTGTCTGTGTGGGCCGCGAGCAGCGTGTTGATCGGGCCGCAGGCCACAAGCGTCATTTCTTCCAGCTTCAGCCGTCTAGAAGCTGGCTGTCGCTAACTCTATTTCATTAAAATAGTTTGCACCTCTGGAGCACAACTTCTCCCAGATATCTTAATTRTTTTCCTTAGGATGGCGTGAATTATCTATAGGTGCTTCTCTTCCCCACTGACTATGAAGGGATCCTAAGTGACTAACTCAGACTTCAGCACTTAATTTTTAGACCGTAAACTGACAGACAAAGACTGTCACCACTGAAAACATTCATAAAGGGTAGCAGGGACAAGAAGATCATAAGAGCAGCTGCAATATGAAATTTTCCTGAGTTTGCACCATGGCATTTCAGATGGTTTACTAGGTAATCTCATGTGAGCATGTAATAGCAAAAATGCTATTAGTGGTGTCCTCCTCCTGACCAACACTAATCTAATTATGCCCTTTTTTTCTCCCACTGTAGGTCGCCACTGTGAGGTCCATCAGATGATTGGAAATTACATGTGGGACCCAACTACAAATCTATCTTTTGATATTGGTGTGAATAAAGACAGCCTGTTGCCTCTCTGGTGGAACGGATCAGAGCCCTTGTGGGTCACCATGATGAAAGAAAAGAAGAATGTCTCTATGTATTACTGGCCAGGTTAGTATGCCAGAAACCATTACCATTTTGTGGTGCATCTTTACACTTAAGYACACCATACTCTGTAGGATGGCTCGTGCATGCACTACAGTTAGGAGGTAAAGGCTCACCTGCAGCCTYAGCTRGGGTGAACCATACATGGAACAGTGCTGTGGACCAGGTCATTGATAAGAGCTAAAAGATAACCATCCTCCTCAAATGTCACTTGTTTTTTGTTTTCTCTTACCTGGAAATGAGTAGCTGTGTGTTTTTCCTTGTGTGGAGAGCAAACCCCACCCAGAAGCAAGCACTGACTGGTGAGCTGGAGCTTCATCATTAACGCAGACGCAGGGTCCTGGTTACTCTGGACTGAGCCCTTTGATCAGAGTGGCTTGGCCTCCCTGTTCCAGGTTTGCTCCATATTGGAGCAAGTCTCCTCTCTGGGAATCACTAGAGATGTGTATGACAAGTCTTTCTTAACAAAGAAGACTATACCCTTAGTTGTTCATTTAGCCAGTCGCGTAGGAATAAATGTCCTAGCAGTGCAGCTGAACTGCCCTACTTGCGAGATATGCAGCTTCTTGCCTCTTAGACCCGTTAACTCTGCTACCTCAGCAGTATGCRGATACCCTCCTGTGTACAACTGCAGCGTGAAGAGCGAGTGTTGGGAACGCTGTGTGAACACAGGTAGCGATGGCAGGTGGAGCGGTGGCTGCTGACTCGCGCCGTAGGCTCCCAGCCCGCCCCAGCCCAGCACACGTGGGCTCCATCACATCCATCCTGCACGATGCGGCTGATGGGCTTCTGGAGAGAAGAGCCAAAAGAGAAAACACGGATGGTTGCACTCACAAACCAGCCAGGTCATTTGTACTTAACTGAAGAGAGAGATCTGAGGAAGCAACCGTTTACCTGGCAGACTAAAATCTCGTCCAACAGGCTGGAAGAGCAAGCTGGAGATAATGTCTTGGATCATGCTTCAAAAAAGCTGCTTCTTACTGGAGATTGCCCCCAATGAAAATAGTAGGATATATGGGTTATATATGAAAGGTTATATATAAAAATATCTTGATGTAATTCTTGATATTTCTATCTTAATATATATCAATGTCATATATAAATACCCCAAACATAAAAGAATATAGTGATTGTTCTAAAAATTTATGAAAACACCTGTTTCTATTCAGTTTTAACTACAAGTAGATCTGCACTTAATAGATGTGATTCTCTAGTCTACAGAAAGCTACTGAAAACTGATGGAACAGCATTTTTTTGTGGTGAAGAACCTCTCAGCTTTTGAGCAGTGCCCAAGGAGACCAATGAGGGGAATGTGCATGTATATATACACTTATACACACAACTTGTGTCTATATATGCTATTAGAAATGTATATGTATATACATTTATGTATATTTGGAGAGATCATTTATACATGTCCTATATATTTTATACTTTTAAATGTGTATATGCATACACATCTTACACAGGTTATTTTTTTTTTTTACAAGAAATCATATATATACATGAGATGTATTTCTTATAGAAAAYTGCAAGGAAAAGTAGACCATTCCTTTTTCCTTGTGTCAAATATATCCACTTGTTTTTTATGACCCAGAGGATGGAACTGCGTCCTGCTGGTGCCAAAGGGAGTTGTATGAATATGGTATTTTATCTGTGGACTGTGACAGGTACTTTTGTCTGCTATTATCTGTGACAGTCAACCTTGAGCAAAGTCCTTAATGCCCCAGTTCAGTGAATGCTTAAGCACATGCTTATTTTTAAACATGTATGTGTTCCCAATGAATACACAGACCGTGTGTGAATACACAGGGCATTGAGGGAGAAGCAGGGAAAACCCTAAAATAGTTGAACTAAACTACAGGGCAATTGGCCTGAAGTATGAGTATTGCAATAAATAAAAATCATGCTAAATATAACAATTTATTTGATACTTTTTCCCATGTGATTTTTGAGTTGTCTTCTAATTCCACAGTAAGGATGTAATAGTTTGACATTTTCTAGATTCATTATTTAAGGCTTTACTTCTTAAAATGGCATTCTGTTAGGAACGTGATCCCAAAAATTAAAGAAAATACAAGGATTTAGTAATCAGGGTGGGTGGAGATGCTGCAAACTTCTGTACAGAGAATAATGTGCTATTAGCTTGCCAGCCTGAGGATTCCATTAGTAATTAATCTTGTAAAAGATCATGAAAAAGATCCAAATAGGAAAAGTTTGGGGCCATAACATGTGGCGTCTAAACTTTGTTTGGAAACAAAGTGCAGAGGTAAATACATCAYATTTTCTTCTGGAAGATGGTATTTTCGCTCTAGCCAACAGTGAAGAGAGTGATCCAAAAGAGAATGGCTGAACATAACACAACTGTGATGCAAGTGCCAGCTAGCTAATTCCTGGGGTTAACTTGTGTTACTGTGATTTCCTCATCAGAGTTGCTTCCAAGGCTTTGCAAAGGCTGAATCCAAAATCTCCACCTTCTTATTCTTCCTTATATTCTTCTGTCATGAATATTTGKTTTTTAAAAGGAGGGGTTTGCCTCAAAGATGAACACAGCATGTTTATTTAAAAGTTTCTGCTTCTCAAGTCTCCATTCAGAGGCAAAAAGTTGTGCATCTCCTAGAGGTCTGATTGCCAAGTAATATACAATCTCTGAAGCCAAATGTTCCGTGCTGCAGCCCAGGTTGTCCTGCCGAAGGACTGACCTCCAGCACTGGGTGAAGCTGCAGGGGAGCACAGGAGCAACCTGGTGATCCCACCACTGTCAAAGCCTTCCAGAGCTCCTCACGCTCAGCTCCGTGGATGTGATGTAACACGAAACCCTCCAACTGCTTCATTTTCCAGTAGTGTATGCAACTGCTCCAGCTGAAGTGGAATGACATCTTTTCTAAACACTGAAAAGGGAAAAAGAGACTCTAAACTCAGMTTTTGTTTTTTTTCTATTATTATTATTCTTTTTTATTTATTTAAACACAACATTTTCCAGACCGTTGAGCTMGTCTGGATAGTTTTCAAAACTTTGTTATGACACAAAGTGTCCAACTGTTAAATCAATGTTTAGAAATGTAATTTAAAGTTGGCAGAAGTTCAAGTCCCAATGTCAAAAGATAAAGAGAAGTCTATATATCACTGTGAAAGAAGTCCTTCTTCCTGCTCCAGAAGCCTGGGTTCTTAAATAGCCATTTAGTGTCATAAAAACTGTGCAGAACACTAATTCTCAGCAAATACAGCACATCTATTTGTATTTTCACCAAGAAAAACTTAATATTCATCTTCTCTGATTCCAAATCCTTATTGCATTTCCTTTCCCTTTATATTTAAGTGAGAAATTTTACCAGCTGTCTTGGCCTTGACCAAAATGAAGAAGTTTATTTATTTAAGGGATCTTTGTAGTAAATGTATTTGTTTTGTTTTGTTTTAACTTGGACCCAACTTTCATCTGTAGAATCCAATTTCAAGTTATTTTCATCACTGAGACCATAAAGCTAYATGCACTATCTTGATGCTTATTGTAAGCAGCTTGAATTTTCTGTATTTCTGTCAATGATCGGCCTGCTTGCAGACCAATACATAGTGGTCAAAACTATTTTTAATTATTTCTACCTCTCTAGTCTTTAATATCGTGCTCATCACTTGGCAGTCTGGAAAGGGCAAAGATACACATATCTGAACAAGCAAAATATCCCAGATCCCCAGGAGGTTAATACCGTCATTTAAAGTTATCTATTGAGTAATTTTGAGGAATGATATCTGAGAAAAAATATAAACTGAGGTCAGTATGTGAAGAGGGGGGAAAAAGAAAAAGCTAAATCATCATGTTGCTTATTTCTGTGAGCAATCATTCAGCTGAAGTAAAGTATTAGGAGTTTAACTGGGGCTGTGCTTGTCCTGGCCCTGTATACCTGACTGTACGGCAGTATATAGGGGCTCTTTCGCAAAAGATATCCTTTCTCTTGTGTCCCAGGAATACACCAAGAAACGTGTAACAGTGGAGGGAGGGCTCTGGATAGAGGGCTCTCTAAAGATAATTTGCATGAGCTTAGTGATTCTCGAAGCACAGGTCTTTTAAACATTAATGTTATTTGGGACTTCAGAAAGCAAAAGGGCAAAAACCCACAGAAATACGTTCTTGTTTGTTCAAAGCCATGTTCTCCTGCAGGATTRCTTGCCACAAGTTCTGGGGTGACAAAACAGACCATTTTTTCAGCGAGGGCTGCAAGTTACCAAAGGAGTTAATTAGTTTATACTGTTCTAATAATATCTCCTGGGAAGCAGGTTTAATAGTGCAACGCTAGTATCCCATAAGAAAATACTCATTATAGAGGGTATTATTAGGTGAGATACTGTGTGTCTGACTGGAAAGTATCTGCTGGACTTTGAGGACTTGAGGAAAGTATCTGCTGGACTTTGAGGACTTGAGGAAAGTATCTGCTGGACTTATAATAAACAAAATTATTTGTTTATTATAAGTCTATTATACTGGGAGTCTGGAAAGTGAGGATATGAGGCCACATCACTAAAAACAAAAACAACTTAGTGATTTGGGTGGAAATGGCCTGTTGCGAGGGAGTGAGGGTTTGTCACAGAGGGATGTCACAGACCTTTTTTTAAAGCAGAAAATAGAAGGATGCAATGTATGGTTTGCCAGAGGCGTTCATCAAACCAACCTCTCTCCCCTTTTCCATCCACGAAATTAAATTTTTCTGCCTAAAAGATGCAAAATAAGCAGCGTCACAGAGAGCTTACAAACCTGAACTTGGATTCCATGGTAGTGTGTCTATAAGCAAGGTGAAATTACTAAACTTGCCGCATTTTCCCCTTGTAGGCTGTGAGGTTGAAATCCTTGGCGTGAGGCCAAGCTACTGCCGCGAGTACTTCAGCGTCCCGACAGACAAGAACTTTGCGGAGGCCATCAGCGACGCGCTCGAGTCCCTGCGGTAGGTCCCGCCGCGCTGCTTCCCCGCTCCAGGACTCGGCTCTGAGCCCTGCTGCAGGGCGGCTTTTCAGGGCGACCTACATGGGAAGATGGGGGCTCAGACTGCTTTGCAATATAATCATAGAAACATTACCATCCACAGAAATAGCCACTTATAATAAGGGGAAGGGAAACGGAATATTCCTTTTTTTTCATTCACAGCTTTCAAATCAGAGGAGACATCCTATTTTTTCCTATTTTTCCTTTGATGTTTATTCCTAAAGAGRTGAGGTCTGATCCAATTATGTATTAGTCTCTGAAGAGCAGCTCACTCACCTTCACTAGTAGACTTTGAAATATGGGAATTTGGCAATTATGAAATTCAGCTCTGGTCACCCATTTTCAAGACTGATGTTTTGACTCCTTCTGCATTTTGAAACATCGCAGGCATAATATTTCGGAGGCAGGCAATCATTCTGCACAAATGTGAGTATGATTGGAATATAGGCTTCTAGATATGCGCTCAGCTGGGATGCCCTGCACATCCAGCTTGCCAGTTCCCCATCCAGGGGAATCATATTAATGATGGAAGATTCTGCAAAGCTTGTMAAGTCAGGGAAAATTGGATTTACTGCAGCTCCACAACCACATATGCAGTCTGGGTCTTACCTTATCTATAGCTGGGCTTCCTCTTCCAAAACACTGGTAGTTTTCTCATTTGTCCCATGCCAGGAGGCACTTTTAATTCATTACTTGCAAACTGCTCTAGCAGTTGGAATCTAAAAAGTCTAGTACTGAGGTGCTTAGAGGTTTTTTCCTCAGTGAAAAGGCTCCAAAACGAGGGAGGCATTTATGGGGCACTGAAAGGCAGAGCTGCCCTGGAAAGCTTGTCCTCTAACTGTGGGCACAATGAAAAGTGAGGCATGAACTGCTYCAGCTCCTGGCTGCTCTTTCGGTCAGCTGGAGCCCATCGACAGCGTTTCTAGCTAGTTCACCCCTGCTGTGAGAAAGAAGAAATGGGCAGGAGCACAAGAAAGGCAGTGGTTCCTCTCATAAGAGGCCAAAGCTGGCACCTTCCAGGAGAGAGAAAAATCAGGGAAAGAAAGGAGGCTACAGAACAAATTGAAAAGGAAAGAGAGAAGATGACAGTAAGTTTTCCTCATCTTTTCTCTTCCTTTCTTTTCCCTGACACCCATTTTTTTTTTCAGTCTTTCAGGACTTGGCAAATAATCCTCCGTGTTGCTGCCAGCCTGAGGGAAGTACAATCTCTGAAATGCCATGTTTTTAGGAGCACTCATTTAGCAGGACTTCACCTTGCTGAGAGTCTTGGTGTTTCCTTGTTATGTGCATCATTTGAAGGAGTTTCCGACTCCTGATACKGCACAGAATCCAGCAGGTCCTGTGCAATTCCTAATTAAAAAGCCAATTAGCTGGCTAATTGCCAGCCTGGCRCTGGCTCAGAGTGGGAAAGCAGCTGGTGGCAGGAGCCATTAATTTAGGCACARGAGCATCCTGTCCCCCAAAAGCGTTCAAAATCAAGTCAAGCCCCCATTTTTGACATGATAAACTAGAACGTCCCTCATGTCTTCTCCATGGCTATAATTTACATGGGTTGTAATTTACTTACTTCTTGGACAGACATTGCAAAGATTTTGTGGTACTTGCAAAATGAAAACCAAAACCCTTTTTGGCATAGCCATAGATCTTTAGCATGTTTTCGTTAGCAATTTCTTTCAAAAGTTACAGGTGATGGGAGAAGATAGGGACTAATATATAGTTAGAAAGACAGGTTACTCCCCCGTGACAGTCCTTATCAGAAAAGCCCASTTTTCTCAGAAAAACAGCCTGAAAATGGAAGCAAAGACATACTCGATCCTGCCAGCTCTRGATGTGTTGTACCCAACCATGCAAACTCCTAGGCACGCGGTGCAGCAAGGGCTTGTCCCATGAGGTTACACATACCAAGTACAACATTCCTGCTYGGAAGACCAAGACCTCACTAAGAAATCCCATCACAATCTAAATAAGATGATTGCTTTCTACAGCCAAACTCCTGCAGGACTAGRTTGAGCTGGTCATTAGGTTACAGGCGAGAAGACACAAAAATATGTAAGTAGTTGAAGAGGAAAAAAACTGTGTCAATAGGTTCAGTGAACRTGTATGTCACATAGGGTTAAATTTTAGAAATTAATCTATTCCTGGTATAGTGGGAAACTAATATTGAGATGAATATTAGGGCGAGGAAAAGGAAGGGCATCTTCATTTGAATGGTTTTAMAATCATGAAGAATTAGAGCGAATACTGCTCTGCAGTGTCCCTGGCCAAGAAATTCCCTGCTCACACAGAGCTGCTCAGCTTCCTGCAGGGAACCTTTGTCCAGGCCYTTTGCAAACTCACAAAGACCAGCACTAGGCCCCAATTCACCTATTAGGATGTCCTTAATAAGAGATGCTAGACCTGTAAGGAAAACACACACACCATCTTTTCTTGTGGGAATTTTGGTTTAGATAAGGGTATATATCATGGATGGCATACACTGGCATGTGTTAAGTACAGTGGGAAAAGACTAGGCTTGAACCCTATAAGCACAGTTTTGCATTTTTATCTTCAAGACCACTCTCAGTCAGCTTTACAGTGAATTGTAAAATGGCCATGAAAACGTAATTAGGTGTTGATTTATTTATTTTCAAGCCTAATTATGCTGAGGGCATTYAATGCAGAAGTGTGTGATAAGCCAACTTTGTGCAGCCTCAGAGCTGACCTTAGCTTGCTTTTGTCCATGGACAGTATTCCTGAACAAGAGCGTTCTCCTGTAACCTCACCCTGAGCTGCACGGTCCTGGTTTCTGTGAGGYCATGGAGGAGCATGTCCCGAGATGGCCCAAGTCATGTGGAAGACCTCACATGGGACAAAGCCAGAAGTGCCAAACCTTAATTAGAGCACATTTAGCTAGTAATTAACATAGGATTTTGAATAAGGGCGTTAGGCACAGAAATTAGTGCTTCTTGTGGCTCTTTAAAGGCAAAACCTTCTTGATCAGGAGGCGTAGGAGAGGGCTGCGAGGACAGAGTGTGTAATCCTTGCCTGGCACCCCCACTGTGGGTCTCTGACCACCTCCAGTGTCCCAGCAAGCAWGGGGGTGATGAAGCCTTGTTTCTGGTGGTAGACACCGACCCCCTTGCGTCAGACTTGGCTGCAACCAGCCCACAGGCTTGAAACTACTGGAGGAGGGAGATGTGACGAGGAGCAAGGCAGAGGTGGGATGAGCACAGGAACTTGCTTTCTTGGGGAAATTTGGCGTGGACAGGGTACTGGAAATGGTTCCTGTGGGACTGCAAGTGCTGGTGCGGGAAGGGATGTCAACACCTTGACGTGTCCTTGTGTGTGCCCTGCTCTCACGGCTTCCCCTTCCCGCGGCTCCAGCAACGGCAGCGCGGAGATGGCAGCCGTCTACTACGAGCGCATCGATGTGGAAGGGCACCACTACGGCCCCGCGTCCCCGCAGCGCAGGAGCGCCCTGAGGGAGGTGGACAAAGCCTTGAGCACCATGATCCAGCAAATCAAGGTGAGTGGGCTCAGGAAGCAAAGCGCCGGCGGGCACTTCGTTGCAGCTGTAACTTTTGCAACCCTTGGAGAGTGTCATTCCCTGCCCATACAGCATCTCGTGGAGCATCTCCCTCGTGCCTTGTCCCTCGTGGCTCCTCCATCCTGGCCCTGGCTGCTCTTGCCCCTGGGTTGCTGAAAGACGTTAAAGAAGCCAAATCAATAGGGCAAAATGGTGCCTGTTGCTTTAAAATAATTCTGCCCCTGCAAGGAGAGCTGTGAGAGAGACCTGTCCAAAATCGGCAATTACTTGAGATCTTACTGCAACATCTGAAAAAGCTTTTTCAGACTGTTCTTCTTGGCACTGCAGAGAGCCATTTAATACTTATTAATTGGATGTCTTGGCCATAAACTTTTATTTCCTTGAAAACAGAGGCTATTGCTCTCCTGTGCACATTTAGACACTGTTTCCTTGATTTCTGCAGACAGCCTTATAATCCTCCTGGTGGATTATTACACCAATAGCCCCAGGAAACCATAGACCAATATACATGTTGCTCTGGTGATAGTTTGTGTTGCCAGCTGGAATTTATAGTGGGTGAACGAATCAAAACTCCTCATTTGGTAAGGTCTGTGGAATCAGAYAATTAACTTTTATAGCAGCTTTTATGGCACCTATCAGAGCTCTGTCCTGCAACCTTTGTTTTAAAAACATTATCTAAATGATTCTGGTGGTGATAGAAAGGACATCAAGCTTTTGCATAAATGCAGGTTTCATGGTTATTTCTAATATAATAAATATATAGATTAGAGCTTTTTTATGTACTTAAATAAGATAATACAATTTCAATAAATCATAAAAGGTGCAATGCTAAGTGTTTGTGAGGAGAGGATGTATTAATGACAAAGGTCCTTTATTCCCAGCATTTTGACCAAGAAATAAGTAAGATAAGTAAGATAAGTAAGAAATAAGTAAGATAAAATCCTATTCAAGTGCAATTGGGACAACAGTTTTGTGGGTCAGAGATTTAGTGTCCTGTACTTTATATCAAGCAGAAAAGGCATTTTTGCAGGTCTAGAGCTGGATTAAGATGGGATTTTTGAGCTCAGGTTTAAGGGTGAAGGAAGAACAGGGGGAGAATCTGTATAAGCAACATTTGGAAGCTCAGAAAGAAATGAGAGGAAAGCTCTGGGAGCTGCAGTTCTGAGGGACACCTGCTTTGCTGGAATCAGTTCCTGCACATCCTGGAAGGAGATTTAATTTGCATCCAAACCATAAGGATGTGTTTGGGTGAAGGGGTTCAAGCTCAAGCTTTCACCCTGTGTCAATGGGATGTGTGTATATATGTGTGTGTATATATATATATATATATATATGTATGTGTGTGTGTGTGTATATGTGCACTCACAGAGCAAGGGCCTTAAGGATGAGGTCAATGTCGTCCTCTTCTCTGACCACGGGATGACTGACATCTCTTGGGCCAACAAAGTAATCGAGCTGAAGAACTACATTAACATGAGCGACACCATACAGATGAAGGACCGAGGTCCTGTCGTGAGCCTGTGGCCAGTGCCAGAGAAGCATGCGGAAGTAAGTACAGCCTATCAGCATTTATTTCTTTGGCATTTGCTTGTTTTGCTTTATAACAATTCTTTCATTAGTTTGGCCATGACAACCAAATCCTGTTGTCRGAGATGTGTGTGAAAATCAACCCGACCCTCTCATCAGCAGTCAGGCTTTAAGTCTGATTTTGCACTCTTGTGACTTTGGTATCTGAAAGAAATTCACACCAGATAAACTAAAAAACACGATCTTTCACTTTTTATTTTTTTCCAGTGCACATATCTCCTTTCAATCCCATCATAATTTCTCTGCATTTGATACAAAGGATTTATCTCAAAAAACATTTTAAAGATTTTGTATTAGCCAACCTATTGACACGAGCTGGCACTATCAAATGGTCTGGTGGAGGTCGGGCATTCTTATTCCAACAAACTCCTGTCAAATAACTAAACCACTTGTGTAGCATCATGCAGCTATTTCCAAAGCTACAGGCATTGACTACTTAATCTCACAGCATCCTTATGGAGCAGATAACTAAGCACTATCAGTCCCTCTGATAGGGATTGACTGGTTACATGCAAGAAGCACAGAGGTAAGGGACAGTAGGTGTTGGTCTCTCAGCACAGGGGCAGAATATCCCCTCTCCACATCTGTATCCCATCCACATTGTGTCCTTGAGCTTGCCCATTGCCTAGTTTACTGTCTTCCTCAACAGCTTGTTGCCTTCTGCTGTGTGTGTCTGCATATCCATGTGCTTCCATCTGTGCCTATACCTGTTGCAAGTGTATGTGTGAGTTTGTGGTTTCCTATGTATTTACAGTCTAAGTATATAGACTGACCTAAGTATATTAGCAGCTTTTGCATTGCCATCACCATCTTTTGGACCAGCAAATGGTCAGTTTGAACATACTGATGATGGGAGTAGCTATCTGACCAATTCAAATATTTCCACACATCAATAGATGTTTATATGATCTTTATAGCCRTATAGTATCCTAACTTTTGCTTTCTTGCAGATATATGAAAAATTGAAAGCTGTGGAACATATGCATGTTTATAACATCCAGGATATTCCAGACAGGTTTTTCTACAAAAAAGGGAAATTCGTGTCTCCTCTCACTCTTGTGGCTGATGAAGGATGGTTCATAGCAGAGGTAAAGTGTAAGACTTGTCCTAAAACTGCCCCTTGCTCTTCCAAGCCAACTGCTTTCCCAATACTTGCTCCCTTCTCCTTCCCAGCAAGCTTCCTCTGTCTTTGAATCCAAAAAGATGTGGGTTTCAGCTTCTTATCTTTTAGACTAATCACTTCTTCCAAAGTTTCCTATATCCTACACTTACTTCCTGGCTTTCCAAATTTGTCAACAAATGTTGAAACAACAGTAAATGCTCTTCTGTCACAGCTAGTTTTTGGTGCACATTTGTGTATACAGAGATATACACATCTGCACATTATATCCTTATTACATATATACATATTACTATAATACTCTTTTCTGTAGTACAAGATTCAGCACAGAACGTTCTTACATTTTCTGGAAAAAAGAAAACGCAACACTTTAAAAATCATTGGACCTCTGATAAACCTTAATAATAGTGTGGCAAATGCTGCTGCTGTGGTAATTAGCTCTGCCCCTTCCGTCCCTGATTTTCACAGGTGTGCACTCATTAATTCTGCCAGGTTCTCCTTATCCTCGGTGCATTTTCACTCTCCCTGGGGGGACGTGGAAATGGAGGTTTGCCCCATGCTGCATGGGCCCGTGAGCAGCCTGACGTGGTCAGCGCCTGGGAGCCGGGCTGCAGCGCAGGGCCTGGGGCCGCAGCGGGAACGAGACCCTTTCTTCCTTGGCTTGCTCTGAGCACCGTCAGGGAACTAGATGCAGACAAGAGATTTAATTTGTCAGCTAAAATTGTTCGGTTATCTGGTATCTCTGCTGGCAGTTATGTGTGAAGAAATGCAATGGATGTTTGAGCATATCCCCCCAGTCAAGAGAGAGCTGCTTGACACCATCCTTGGGGCCCTTGGGAAAAGCGGGAAAATAAAACTGGACAAAATAAATGTTTGTGAAAGGAAAGGGGTCTGAAATCAACCCTTTTTCTRTCTGCTCATGTATGGTCTGTGCACAGGGCATCTCAGTGGCTCCATACTTGGGACCATCTTTCTCATATTCCTGCATTGATTGCCAGTTTGGGAACACTTCTGGGCACTGCTAACTGGAGGCACGATGCTCTGTGTTGTGGTCCAGCCCCAGCATGGGAATGGGGGAGACACTTCAGGGGCATTCCCTCTGTTCCAGCAAAGGCACACTCGGGACCTGAACATTATAGGAAGCTCTAGCTGGGTTTACATGGCCCTTAGGAAGTTAATGCCAGGGATCTMCCGTGTCATCTCACATTCACCATCTTATTGCAATTTCTATATCCAGTTTCATTTCCATTTCTCTATCCAAAGTGCAATTAGTTCAGTATTTGCACAGTTTTGAGGAGAACTATAGCGTGACGTGCTGCTGCTTCTGGAGAGCGCAGCACAGGACGAGCTCCTGGTGAGGGTCTGTAGTGCATTTCAGGAAGACTCAGAGGACATTTCCCCCTGAGGAGGCAGCAAGGGGCACTGCTGCCAGTCATCTGCTCAGGGCCGTGGAACCAGCGTGTCCCGGAGCTCAGCGATGCCACGTTAGTGACAAGGGGGGCAAACATGAACTGAGTGACGAGTCATGGTGGGTTCCTCACCCGCGTCTGCTTGCGTCCCCAGAGCAGGGAGAAGCTGCCCTTCTGGGAGAACGGCACCGGGCGCCGGGACGCCTGGCAGAACGGCTGGCACGGCTACGACAACGAGCTCATGGACATGCGCGGCTTCTTCCTCGCCTACGGGCCAGGTAAGGCCAAACTGCATCCTGGTGTGGCCCCCACGGGTGCCCGGACTTGCAATCCTGCCTGTAAAAGCAGGAAGCTGCCTCTCGGTGGCGGCCCTGCTAGCGCTTCCCTGGCGAAGGTTCCSGAGGTGGCAGCCGTGCCTCGTGCGCCTGCCCTGGGCCCCTGCTCCTGCTTTCCTCCTGCTCAGGCCCTTTGAATGTTGAGGAGTTGGAGGCTGTGAGGGCAGCCAGGAGCGAGGGAAGAGCAGCAGCTGTGGTGCAACTAGTTCAGGCCATTAACTCTACCAAATGCACACACAAGAAAGTTGCTCCTGTGTATTTAATAATTCAATTCACTTCTATTTTCTTTGTTTTTTTTTTTTTTAATAAAATCTGATCAGAAATACTAGTGACAAATACAAGCATTTGGAGTGCCTTTGCTGCGCTGTGCCGTAAGCCACGCAGCGGGAAGTGCTGGCCTTGCTTGGCAGCACCCACCCGCCTGGGAAGCCGGGCACGGGCACGAGCGCCCGCACGGCACCCGCCCCTCATCTCCGCCCGTTCTTCCCTTCCAGATTTCAGGTCCAACTTCCGCGCGCCGCCCATCAGGTCCGTGGACGTGTACAACGTGCTGTGCCACGTGGCGGGCGTGAGGCCGCTGCCCAACAACGGCTCGTGGTCGCGCGTGGAGTGCCTGCTGCGGGCCGCGGCGCCCGCGCCGCCGCGCGCGCCCTGGCCCCGCTGCGCGCTYGCCCTGCTCCTGCTCGCCCTCCTCGCCTAGCAGCGCGGGACAATGCGGGTCAGTGTCACCAGCAACTCGAGCCCTCCCCGCTCCCCACCCACCTCTTTCTTTTTGTTTGAGTCTTCTCTGAATAATAGCTGCATTAATAGGGTGCGGCGCGCCACGGGTGAAGCGAGCACCGCTCTTCTGCCCGGCTCCTGTGGGAGCAGTGGCAGAGCCAGCAGGGGTAGGAGAGCACTGGGAGCATCCTGCTTTTCCCAGCCTTCGTTTTCCCAAAGCGAGCCCCRGTTGGCAGACCGGACCCTGCACAGCAACAGGACCTTGGGTTTTTGCCTCCCACTGCACAGGAGAGAGCAGGCAGCTGTGGGAATAGAAGGGAAAGGAAATGGTCCCTGGACACACTGAATTAGGAGGAGGTTCTGTTAGGAAGCCTGGTTTTTCACCGCCTTCTTGCTTTCCTGGGGGAAACTGTATGGTCTGCTCCGGTTGCTGTTCCGCTCCCAGTTGCTCTTCAAGATTTCCAACCCCTACCGCTTTTCCAGGGGCTCCAGATGTCCGTGTCTGAGCCGCTCAAGCCATGCAGCAAGCAGCACGGTCCCCTGTGCTGAGCTTCAGTGTTGTGTTTGCGATGGGGACAGAGGTCTGTGCAGACAGGTCACCCCCAGCTAAGCCTAGCTAAATCTGACCCCCACGAGCCCAAACAAAGTGGTCACGGTCAAGCTAAACGGCAGGTGGAGACCGAGCTGTGTGTGGAGGCAGTGAGCCTAAGTCACAGGGGTGAAGTCAACCTACCCACATCACCAAGACACACCAGTAAACCTGAAACCCCTCCGCAAAACCTGTGACATCCCTCCACACAACGATSCTCACGAGGGAATTGGGGGACCTTTCCTCATTGTCTAGTTTCCACCATGAAACACACACATCCAGCACAGAATCCTAAAGGTCTRATCCCGCAAAGTGTCCTTTCCCTCTCTGGAGACTGTGGCATCCGGCAGTGCCTTCCAGTTTTATCCCATAGATCTCTGTGCCTCCAGCTCTCTGTGCCAGCTGCCTTTGGGAGGACCTGGGTCCCTCCCCATGCAAAATAAACCTCAGAGTTACCAGTCACAGGGCTCCAAAGCCAAGCACCAGCACCGATCCAGTACAGTGAGTTTAAGGGTGAATGATTACACCTTGAAAAAGAAAAACAAAAACAAATTAAACTTGACAAAAGACTTCTGTAAGGGCTGCAAAGATTTATGTAATGTGTTTTTAAAGCTCAAGTGAACCATCAAATCAATTGGAAAAAAAAGAGGAAGAAAATCAGTCTTTGTTATTAGACTGTTGAGTATAAAAGGCAATTTAGTGCTTTCTAAGCATTTGCAGTAGCTGTAAAACAAGCACCTATTGTTCAAAGTTCCCTGTCACTCTCTAATGGACCAGGCTCAATGAATTCACTGGAGCGCATTTTTAAAGTGAGAAAATTATCAGTGTAAAAGATAACCAAATGACTAAATTGCAAAGTTTCGTTCAAAAAGCAACAGGATACACACTGTGCATGCTAATCCCTCCGCAGCCTGCAGGTTTAACCATCACAGTAAAGAAGAATCCAATATCCTCTTACTGAGGAAAAACACCCTGAAAGTCTGAGGGTCTGTTCTGCTCCTCACTAGCACCAGCAGAAACCAGAAATAACAAGCAGGCCTGCTGAGATGATCCAGGTATGGGCCACGGCACATGAAATCAGTGTTGATCCCTGGCTCTGCGAGTGTTTCTGTATAATTTTTATAAAAGCAGCCATACGTGGTGTCCKTTGCAGAGCACATTGTATAGTTGCGTTAGGATTTGCTGGACCTACATGCAACTAGGGTGTGTTATGGGGACACACCTCAAAATACACCTGGTCTGTGCAATGGGAATTTGACTGCGGATCCACATGGAGCTCCTTTGCGCCAGGAGAGCGGCGGCTGGGCGCGTTGCAGACACGCATCTTCCTGCCTCTGTATTTTTTACCTCTAAATCAGTTCACGTTCTTATTCAAAAATCAGTGTCTTGATGCTAGTGTGCTTTTCTGAGTCCTATGCAAGCGAGGTGGGTGCRTTTAAAAAGCTGGTTCTGAATGATGCTTTTGTACAACGCTTGCTTGTGAATGAGTGAATAAGAATGCTCGTAGAAAAAAAAATGCATCTTTCTGTAAATACTGTAAGATTTTGGGGGAAAAAAAAACCCAAAAACTGTAACACCGTGCCTTTCTTGATTGATTTGTGAATCAAAGTGTGATAAACAGTGTTTGAAGCTTGTGCTGATTAGCCCTCAGCGAGATGGATGATAACATTGTTTAGAAATGGACAAGTTGTCAGCATGTAAACAAGGAACAYTGACTCTACCACAGGAGGTACGATAGCTTGCGTATGAGAGCATTTTGCATGGAACTTTTTCTATATTTCACCTTTTGAACGGGTGTAATTTTTTGTTGCCATTTCTTGCTGAACTTGAAGCAAGGTCCCTCGTCCTTGGCCCTGGGCACCAGTCCTTGCTTTTGCTTTTTGCTTCTGTGCTCCCCTCGTGCAGCACCCTGCCCTGGTGGGATGAGATGACACCAAAGACGACCCCAACAGCTGATGCTCCCCAACTRGTGACCACCTTCCAATGACCAGAGYTCAGGCCAAGTTGTCCTCYCGCCTCAAAATGTGGACGCTTGGACATCAGGATCTCCGCAGCTTGGACACCTACAGATCCTACCACCTGTGGAGCCTCTTCCCAGGAGTTTATCCGGTCTCCTGTGGACCTGATCTACACTGTCAACCTTCACAAGAGCCCCATGGTAGTATGTGCTGCAATTTCATTGTTTCCCCTCGTTGAAAACAAAAGCCTGCCTTAGTGCCCGTGTCCCAGCTAAGCAGGGTTAGTCCTTTCCATCAGTGGCATGGAAATGCTTTCCTGTCAGCCCAGGAGTTGGCCAGGCCCTTCCACAGGGACGGGGTTTGTGGAGTGCTCTGTTTCCAGTTGGTCTGGAARTCAATAAAGACGGATTTCACAGTGCCGGCCTGCCTCCTTGGTGTTCCTGTGTGTTGCAAGAAAGTCAAAATATGGCTCCAAAGCTTAGCCCCTACCTCAGTGGGGAGATGTAGCCCTCCCTCTTTCCAGATGCTTGAAGTGGAAGGCACTGGAAAAGGGCAATGTAATGTCTTCCCTCTGCTCCTCTTCCTCGGGGTAAAGATAGCAGGCAGCTGCAAATAGAAATGGATGTTCTTTGGGCTCTTTTTCTTTTTTTTTTTTTTTTAAGGAAAATCTGTTAAAATAAGTTTGATTTTTTTTTCTATTGTGGGACAACTTTCACTGATGTGGAAGCACATTTCAAGACACGTACAGAAACACATTTACATTCAAAGAAATGGATTATGGAATGCTCAAAAATTAGAACATTTCAGAATTAAAGGTAATTGTCCATCTTAATTGTCAGTGTAGCCAATTTTGCCATGGAGATTAAAAGAAGATTCTTTCTACCTGTTTTCAATAATCTTCTAGTCTCTCAATCCAGCCTACATTTCCATTTTCCCAGACCATTTGTCTCCTAAGATTTCCCTCTTAGTTTTGATTATTCTAACATTATTATGCCTTATGTGTATTCCTTCCTACTAAACTGTTGCTGAAGGAAGTCCCGTGCACCAGGCTGGCTATAGGCACATATCCAGCAATATGGATATTGCTATAGACACAGCAAATTCTGGTTATATATTATCCCAAGGCATCAAAGCCACTCTGGCAACACTGAACCACTACCATGGAGTTTCCTCTTGTCGGGGCTATTTCAGAAAAATGCAAGATGCAGAAAAAAAAAACCAAAAARACAACAATCTCGGTCAATGTGGAGTAGTGAATTAAACATTTTTTTAAAAATTTCTCCAAGTTAGGTCAGAGTGCTCCAGCTGGTTAAAGGGAGGAGAAGGAAGCTCAGTGACTGCTGAGGGAAGTGCACCCAGGACCTGGAAACGGGTATCTCCCAATATGCCACTTTTATGTCCTTGYTTTCCTTTCCCTGTATTAATGGCACAGTTCAGCAGGGCACAACCTCATAAATTCCCCCATGGCAGCTGTGACAACAACCGGGAGAGGCACGTGCGGCTGCAGGTCACGAGGAGACGCATTAAATCCACGGAAAGACAGAAGTGACCTGTGCTGTCTTCCTTTAGGGATACAGCCTGGTGTGCCAGCCCTTTTCCTGCAGGATCCTGGGCAGTGGGGAATGCAGGGGTGATTTGGGAGCTGTGGTGGGGATGGCACATGCAGGGATGCAGGCCAAAATCCTAGTTTTTATCTACCTCAGAGCTCCCTCTTCCGGCTCCATGGGAAAAAACGAGAAACTTGAGGATGTCAGTCCCTCTTCCTGTGCTTCCCTGCTCCCTCTGCCCGCTGACCAGAGGCGGGCCGCACTGTGTAAAACCTGGGCAGCCTGCTCATTCTACAGTTTCATTCTCTGCTTTTATTTTATTTTTGTCCCACCATGGGCTTGGGCTTCAGGATGGGAAGCGCTTCCAAGTCCCACTGCCTCCGTGGCTCCGGTAGCAGCTCACAAGATGCCACATCTCCTCTGGAAACATCAGAGAGTCCTGTTTTGAACAAGAAAACATTCAAACGTGTGCGCTGCTCTGCCATTGACCCCCAATTAAAAATACTGACAGGTAAAACTTGAGAGAAACCCCCCMAAAAAAAGAGCTAGGGTGCCCTGGGCAGAGCTCCGGCCCAGAGCAGGGCTCACTCTGAGCTCTGCTGCTTTCCCTCAACCTCTGTACGAGAAGGGAGAAAATGTAGCCTTCTTAGAAAAAAAAAACCAGTGATTTAGACAAAAGGATCAGTGAATTTTAGCTACAAGGCTTGCAGCAAGCGAAATAGGGAAAAGTTAATAATTCACATTGCAAGTATCCAGCATTACACTTTTAATGTTGTCCTCTGTTCTTTGCTGTCTGGCTGATTTTAAGCAGCAAGCTCTGTCAATCTGTGAGATGTAGTAATAGTTGTTATATTTTGGGGGGGGAATGATAGTTAGGGCAGGCTAGGATGGCTCCCTGCCGGCCCTCGCGGCAGGACCATCCCGCTGCAGGGGTGATGGAGCTGCGGAGACGTTGCCCATAAGGGACTCCTCTCACCCCCAGCYCCTCCATGTGACCAGCTTCCACCGGGAGCGTGTCGACATTCCCAGTGGGACCAGATTTCCCGGTGGCAGGAGTGGGCACTGGCGGCTCCCAAGCTGCCTCCTGTTGGTGTCCTGAAATTAATATTACATTAAGATGTTATTCAGCACTTATATATATATTTATATCATTTTATTAATATTAATTAAGCCTCAWAACCTGCTGCAGACAGCGGGTCTTTGCCGGAGGGAGGAAGGGCGCTGGGAGGAGACCGGCCGCGGGGCCGCGAGGTGCAGCCGTGGTCCCCCCAGCACTTCTTCTTGTGGAGAAGCAGCCAAACGCAGCCCAGAAAGGCCCGACAGCTCACCCCACCTTTGAAGAGACACAGTGCAGTCACAGGACCTGAATTGTAAATGCTCCAGCCGGGACAGTGATGGATTAAGGCTTCACACCAAGGCAGGTGTGACTCGGGAGTCCTCTGAGGGCAATTAGGAAAGGGAAACCAGCTGGTGAGTGCTCAGATGCGGCAGCTAGAGCAGCTTAAGTAATTAATGCAACAGAGAAAGATGGAAGCGTTAAGAGGGGTTGGGATGAAGCATCCCAAGCTTTCTCCARGCTCCCAGGAGAAAAGCTTTTCCAGTGGCATTGAAAGCCAGTGACATGGGTTCCTCCAACATGCCCCCAGGCTGCCTGRTGTGGAAGGCAGGTGGCTGAAACCAGGGATGAATTTCCCAGAATTGGCTCCCACGAGAGCTGGATCRGGTCAAATCCTGCAGGCGACTTCCACCTGGGCTGTCATGAGGTTTGTCACTGTTCGCAGTATTCACTATTCCACATCACTCAGGGAAAAAAAAGGTTATTTTCCCCACTGAAAACACATGCAAGGATTCAAATAAAATCCAAGCTATGAAGGATTTGTAATTATCATTTAGGAAGTGCTAGCAGGTTTATAAATAGCGCCACAAAAACAAAGTATGAATCAGTACAGTCATGAGCTCGTCATTCCCTTTGGAATTTTCTCTGTACGGTCCCTCCCATATTTATCCCTACCCCGTCTCTCGCCACACGTTCAGCTGGCACACGATATCACTGGAAAAGTGTTTTGAAGAAATTATCCTCTATCAAACYGCAATCTGAGGTACTGGTCCCATTTGCCTCATCAAAGCCTATTCTTCTGAGGTAATTTGTTGATACAAATCTCCTTCCTGCTGTGATTTATATGGACTTTTTCTCAGAAAAAGCTGCCTGCAAAGATCGCTACAGATGACTCGTTTGGTTTACTTTGCCCTTTGCCCGTAAGAAAACACCATTTTGAATGAACATTAAGCTTTCACCTATAATGAACCTTCTGGGAAGCTGAGCGAAATAACGTCCCATTGGAAGCTGCTGATGGCACGAACCTGGTCAGGCTCTTTGGTTTCCCTGTTCAGCTCCTTGCCTGTCTCAGTGAAGCAGAGTATTTCAGCCACTCTTTTCTTGCAATAGATGTTATTTTGGTTGGCACAAGGGACCCATAACCAGTTCACACTGTTGCTGAAGCATGGGGAATTTTAMCCAGAAAGGGTTTTTTTTCTTTTTCTGGATTGACAGTTAAATGAGGAACACACGTGCAGACACACACAGGCACTGCTATCCACCACCAGTACAGCCTGTGGCGGCCCTAGCACGGTGATCCCACCCGGAATGCTAAATGATGGAGCAGATGGGCAGCTCAGGCATGGGAAATGGCCTTTCGGAGCTCAGACCCTCACATCTCAGGGAGCTTGGGGGGACCCAGAGACATTTGTTAACAAAAAGCCTAATAATAATAATAATAATAATAATAATAATAATAATAATAATAAACTGAGGCAAACACACAGTTCCCTGGGACACTACCTGAGGCTGCACAGAGCACGTGCAAAGCAACTGCAGAGGACTGCTTTTCTCCTGGTTTAAGGCAAGGAAATGGGCTGCTTCAAAGCTGGCGATAGGCAGCCAGAAAGACGATGTGAGACAGCTCTTATATAACGACCTGAAACTGTTCTGCATCCCACCGCCAGTTCCCCGTGACAACCACAGTCTTCCCCAAATGCAGCTGGTTCAAAACAGCCTGAGTGACATTTAAAAGTGAACAAATTCATGTGCCACTGCGGTAGGGTCAACTTCGAAACCTCCCTGCTGCTAGCAGGGGCATAGGGAAGAGCAATGACTCTTTTCCTATCTCCCTCCCATAATCTATGAGGTCTGGAGATTGCTGCCACGTGCACACATCTGGGATGCATCATGTTCCTTCTCCTGCTGGAGAGAGGAGCTGGTCCCTGGACACAAAACAAGCTTGGAGACGCTCCGYAGCCTGACAGCGGGAACACACAGAGAGTTCCTGCACGTACAAGAGCCAGAAGGGAGAGGGGTTTATTCCAAGATGGATATGAGAGCCGTGGGTGTTGGAAGCCTTCGYGAGTACAAGCCTCTGTGGGAAGGGGAAGGCTGTTGGGTTGAAGCACGCAGTTATGATGAGCTCTATGCTCATGCTTATGGCAGGCCCCCGTGTCTGGCTTCTCAGGGACTCCCTCTCCCTCTCTTCCCTCAGCATTTTCTCCAGGATCCCACTTGCAACACCACAGCTCACTCTGGGAAGGGGAGGCCAGTATCAATTACTCTTTATTTTAGGTCTTTAC